CCCTCAGAGAGCACTTGTCATTCCAGCCCTGAGTTCTCAACTTTTAGCCATTACTCCCTATAAATAAATAATGGCCTATTTTCATCTGGGCAACCTTGGGCAAAATGTCATTCCTGGAGAAAACACCCAGAGTCTCCTTGGGCTTTTTCTTACTTTTCTCCAGCTACCTACCTCACTACAGATCACAGTCTTGGACTGAAGGTGTCCATCACCATAACTAGCACCACCTCCAATCTCTGCCTGTCGGAAGTTCCTTGTCACCTTCCTAAGTCCAGCTCAAATGCAACCTCTTCTGGCAGGCCTTCCTTGATGACCAGCCTACATCTTTCTCTCTTCTGAAGCCCCATGGCACTTGGAATTGCCTTTGCTATGGTACTTGGCACTTTCTACCATAGACAGTAAGCTCCTCGAGGGCAGGATCCATGTCTGATTCATCTCTGGGTCCCCTGCAGGGATGAGCCCAGTGGCCCCTCTTGGAGGTATGCAGGAATGGCTGAGGAAGGAGTGAGGCTCTAAACCTGGCAAGATACACTCTGTCAATAGGCTAGGAGGAGCCTGGGCCTGGGTTCTACCTCTTCATAAAGCTAGTTATTTCCTTTCCCCTTTCATTCTCACTACCAATCCATTCCTGAAGGACCTCTCTCGTTCACTATCTTCAGCCAACTGTCACTACGGGACAGAATCCTCTGTGAAGGCTTTAGCAGTTAACAGCTTAGAATGTTGCTGCTCCCAGAAGTCTTTGCACTCAACAGTAAGGGTGCGATGGGATGGGGTTGGGGGAGTGCTGAAGGAGGTGAGGGTGAAAACCTTGAGTCCCCAGTGACATGTACTCTTATTAGAGGATTTAGGCATGACAGGCTGGGCAAGGAAAGAATTTGGGGGATTGGGAGAGCTATTTCTTGATACCCCTCCAATCATAGCCCTTTAGTATTCTGAGCTACTTTTGTTCTCTTTCTGCCTATGTCTTTTTTAAAAAGATGTCCTGGCACAGAGTAGCCCTTAAATAAATTGTAATCATTAATATCAGTACTAATAAGTCAAGAACATAAACAACATAGACACATAGCCCACCCTAAACACATGAGTGCTTGGAGGTGCCAAGTATAGATGTAGATAGATTTTGTTAGAATTTCTGAAGTGTCAGTGCAGGTTTTGACACTGAAGTGTCAGTGCAGCCCAACCCTACATTGGGCTCCCTGGTGGTAGAAACAGTCTGAACAAAGATAAGGAGGTGAAAACCAGCAGGTTGTGTGTGCACAGGGAATGGCCAATGACTGAAGAGAGGGCTCTCCTAAAAGACTGACAAATGGAGTTGGTTAGATGGCAGGAAGCAGTGAGAGGGGAGAGAGAGTCCAAGTTGAAGAGAGACATGATGACAAATTCAACTTTGAGTTGTTGGTAGGTCAGTAAGAGGAAATGTCCCCTAGGAGCCTGAAGATCCCAGGCTGTGAGTAGATAGGTAGGGCCCAGGGTCACAGGGAGTACATGGATCCTGCAAAGCAGCAAGTGCAAAGGAAAGGGCAGGGTGCAGCATGCAGGGGGTGTTCAAATGAAAAGATGGGGTGGGAGAGGTGATGGTGATAGTGGTGGTAGATAGTGCTTTTAGTACCTTTGAGCTCTGCAGCAGAAAAGTTCAGAAATACAATGCCATGGGGGAAAAATACAGGATGGGGGACAGAGAAGTTATTAGCAACCTTAAGTGTGCTCTAAAGGCAACTTTGCTTAAATTAAATATTGACATTGTATCTACTTAATGATTTAAGAAATTAACATTTTTGCTGTTTTTCTGGGTTGGAAGACATATGGAAGGCTCCATAAATAGTGAGTTGAAGTTCCCACTTGGCGCTCTCCCTGGTGCTGGATTTGCATAGTGCATTCCTTGTCTTAGGGGTTTACGGAAACCACTGCTTTCTCCCTATTCATCTCCGTTTAGGTGCTAGCCAGGAAGTAAATCTTGCCAAATAAAATCACCTTTACATGACTTGTGCTTCTCCTCCACCCAGTATCACTAAGGCTAATGTTTGCTGCAAAGTTTTGAATGGAGACAGCCGTCCTTTCCAGGAGTAAAACTCTCTCCCTATTTTTTTCCAAACCAAATCATGTTCATAGTGGTTTTTAGGGGGTGGTAAGATTATGGAGAATGTCTATTTTCTTTGCATTTTCCAAATATTACTTCCATAGTTTAATTTGTATTTTTTAAAGAAAGAAAAGTAGATTGGAGATGATTGGAGTTATCTCTCTTAGAAAGTCTTATAAGATAATCATAAGCTGTGAAATTCTCAGTGACATGGCATTGCCTCTGTGTCTCTTTTAAGAGAAAATTCTCAGCATAATATTCAGGTTTTTAGAATTTATTTATTTGTAAAGATTATTTATTTTGGAGAGAGAGCATGCAAGTGGGGGGAGGGGCGGTGGGAGAGAATCATCAAGCAGACTCCCTGCTGAGCATGGAGCCCCAGGTGGGGCTCTTTCTCATGACCCATAATCCGCTTAAACAACTGAGTCATCCAGGTGCCCCTAAAATTTATTTTTTAAGAAGATAAATGCACAGAAACTCTGTAAGGTGAGCTCTAGGATTGCAATTCAAAATAGATAGTTTACGGGGCGCCTGGTGGCTCAGTGGGTTAAGCATCTGCCTTCAGCTCAGGTCATGATCCCGGGATCCTGGGATGGAGCCCTGCATTGGGCTCCCTGCTCAGCAGAGAGCCTATTTTTCTCTCTCCCTCTGCTGTTCCCCTTGCTTGTGCTCTCTCTCTCTCTGTCAAATAAATAAAATATTTTTTAAAAAGTTTACTACTCCAAATGACTGCTTTTCTTCCTTTCAATGTAGGACATAACCTGTGAGTATCAACTCTTCAGTGCATTACAGGAAAATTTTGGATTTTGGAAGATTCCTCAGAAAAGAACTGTAAGGTCATGGCCTATGTTATATGTCTAAGAAAAATTCAGCAAGCAGGGATGAATGGAGAACACAGTCATATGCTTCGGATTGTCTCAGAACCAAAGTCAGACACTATGAACTTGACACATGAAGCACTAGGTGCTGCTCACTGCCCTCCACTGTTGTCTTCATACCCCCATGCTCTGAGCCAGCTGACAATGTCCCCTGAGTCCCTACATACTTTCTGCTGGACTGTTGTTAGGCTTTCCTTTCTTTCTCCAACCTTTAGCTTTTTTTTTTTTTTTTAGATTTTATTTATTTTTTAGAGAGCAAGCGAGTGAGAAACAGCATGAGAAGGGAGAGGGTCAGAGGGAGAAGCAGGCTCCCCGCTGAGCCGGGAGCCCAATGTGGGACTCGATCCCAGGACCCTGGGATCATGACCTGAGCCGAAGGCAGACGCTTAACCATCTGAGCCACCCAGGCGCCCTCTCCAACCTTTACTAAGCACCTAGTATGTGCCTTTTACTGCACGTTTGCTCTGAGATGATAGAAATGGACATAATAGATCCCTTCCCTAAAGAGACTCAAGAGCCAAAAGGAGAGGCAGCTACACCAAGGTGACAGTAAAGCAGATTACTACTGGCCCAGAGGCTTATACAGGGTGTTAGGGAGCACAGAGAGCTCCTAATTTTGTTTGGTGGAAGAGGGTGGGGAATAAATAAGGGAAGAGGGTCATAAAGGAGGGGACACTTGCATTAATTCATCAGGTATACTGGGGAGGGGGCAATGGGAGAAGATCTGGGGGTGGAGACCCAGAGAGAAGAGCCAGGAAGCTACATCAAGAGAAGGGCTCAGGAATGATGAAGGGACTTACCTGGGACCTATTCTGCCAAACTGTTAAATGGAAGACTGAGCCCCATGGACTGACATGAGGGGGTAGATATAGTAGGTGGAATTCTAAGATATAGTAAGTGGAATTCTAATTCTACTATAATTAATTCTAGAGTAGGTGGAATTCAGGTCCCCAAGATTGCAGCCCTCTGTAGAACCCTCTCCCCATGAGAGTGAGTAGGATTTGTGAAGATATGATTTCACACCTGTGATTATGTTACCTTATATGGTAAAAGGGGTTTTATAAACGTAATCAAGGTCCCTAATCAGTTGACTTTAAATTAATTAAAAGGATGATTATCTTGGGCCTGAACTAAGCAGGTGACCTTTTTAAAAGGGTGCAGGTCTTCCCAGAAGTCAGAGTGATTCCAAGCAGAAAAGAGGCTCTCCTATTGACCTTGAGGAAGCAATCTGCCATGTTGTGGAGAGAACCACATGGCTAGGAACAGCATGTGACCTCTAGGAGCTGGAAATGAATTGAACAAGCAGTGAGCTTGGAAGAAAACCCTAAGCCTCAAGTGAGATTGCAACCTTGGCTAACACCTTGATTCCAGCCTGGTGAGACCCTGAGCAGCTATCCCATACCTATGCCCAGACCCATGTGGGATAATAAATTTATGCTGTCTTAAGCTTCTAAGTTTGTGGTAATTTGTTATGTAGCAACAGAAAACTAGTTCAGTGGGTAAAGAAGGAGTAAATGTTAAAGATGGAGGAGGTAAGATCTAGAGCCCTATGAGAAGCTGGGGAGCAAGAAGCATTCTGGTCAGCTGGTCAGTCAGTGAGAGGTGCTGAAGTATAAAGTCAGGCAAAAAATCCCTGCCTACTTCCTAAGGATCCCTGTGATAGGAACTGAACCCATGACTTTCTTTCTCAAGAGGAATGGTCAGGTGAGTGGTGCGGGCTGAGGCTCTATGACTTTTCCTGCCCAAGAAGAGACTGGTGGAAAGGAGATAATCCAGAGATGATGTTTATATACTGGGGAGATGTCAAAAATGTGTTTCGTTCAAAGGCAAATACTTCATTTTTGTACCATGAAACTTGACAAGTTTCTTCCTGAAATTTAGTTGTTTCCTAGAACTTTCTTTCATGTTGTTACTTGCTACCAAAGATGCAAAAGCAAACTCTTGCATTTTGTGGTGCATTTCAATTCCTTCAAAATATTGAAAAAAAATCAAAGTATAGCCAGTTTATTTTTCCCTTCAAAGGAGCCAATATTTGATTTTTCTTCTTCTTTTAAAAAAATTTGGGTCACACTGGTGAATCATTTCAATGTTTGAATCATTTTAGAAGGTCCAGAGGGGCTATTTCTTTAACACTGGAAATAATCAGAGGTTATACAGTATTATACATAGGAAGGACAAATAGCTTTAAAAAAGAAACTCCTCCATCTCTTTTTCTTCTACCATCTCAAGGACGCTAAGTCTTCACTGAAAATAATACACCATTTTTCATGACAAAATTATCTTCAGACAAAATTTTAAAGCTCTAGTAAATTGTGCAATAGAATATCAAGTGCCTATTCTGTGAGAAAAGTATGGCAAAGTGTTGTCACATCCACAGGTGGAAGCAAATTACAGACATTTAAAGACGATTAACAATACAGGATGATTATATGTGGCACAAGGAGTCCAGATAATCAACAGTATAATTGCAGGGGAAGGAAGAATTGCCTAGAGTCCAGGTGACCAGCCCATCTTTGGAGGAGGAGTGATCTCCCATCAGTGGTAAGGACTGAAAAGGGGAGGGCTGGCATAAGGCAGGAAAAAGTTGGGAAGGTTGGAAGAGTCTAGACATATTTGTGTAGCAATAAGTAAATCAGTTGGATTGAAGTTAGGATTCATGTCAAAGGAAGTAGGGGAGATGTGGGGAAAATATTACTGAGTCTAGGCTTTTCCTATATGCAACGGAAAGCCACTGAAGTCTTTTGGATCCAACAAAAGAAAATATTTCATGAAGACCCATGGTCAGTTGTGTTTGTTTGGATTGGTGGCAGAGAGCCTATTGGGAGTTTATGGCAAAAGTGATAAGGTCCCAACCAGGGCAGGGGGAAAGGAGATGGGAAGATGACATTCAAAATATAATATACAGACAAATCCAAAAAATGTGATACCTCTCTAGGGAATTTATTGATGTCACAAACCTTCAAAGATTTTGGCCAAGACCCAGCTTGTTTGGTGGGGACCAGAGGTCTCAGGCAACCTTCCTTTCTCTTTGCAGAGAAATATAATTGTATGTGAGCTTACAGTGACGTTTTTAGAGAATCAGCTCATGACTAATTGAGAACTTCAGTGGGAACTAGAGATAATCCCACCACCCTGCTGCTACTACTCCCCACCAAGCAGTCCCTCCTCCATCCCCAAATCACTTTCGTGGTCAGAAGAAGAGGTCCTGGAAAATGATCCCACCCTTACCTCACCCTTCCTTTCTTTGTCTCATGGTCAGTTTCTGAATTTATTTTTGAGAGAGGGGATAAGAATTTGCTTGAATTATACTCCAAGGAGATACAGGTCTGGGGAACCTACGGTTTGGCTTCTCAGTGGACTTTCTCTCTCTCTTTCTTGTGAGCCCTCAGATCCCACTATTGGTATTTCTTCCCTCAACTCCTCAGAATGACCCATATGTCACACAGAAAACCTCTGTGGCTCTAGTGGTGTGAGAAGGGAAAACAGTCACCCCAAAGTCTTAAGGCTGGTGCAGAGGAGAAAACAGAACCTATACTCAGGATACCTAGGTTCTAGTCTACATTTTCCTTGTCAGGACCCTGAGAAAATCACATCACCCTTGAGTCTGTCTCCCTGTCAACCATGTAGGAATCACAAAGCTTATCACAAAGGTGTGCTGGATTGTCATGAGGATGGTAAGATAAGTAATACACAGAACACACTTGCTGATGCATGGCATCTACTTGTGATAGCTAAATGGCTGACCCTTACTCTTTCTCCCGCTTTTTATCTCCTTTCCCAGATTCAACACACCAGCATTACTTTGATGTAGAAAGAGAAGGTAAGCACAAACAATGAATCATGGAACACTATATCAAAAACTAATATGTAATGTATGGTGATTAACATAACATAATAAAAAAAAAAGCTGAACATATGCCTACCCTAAAAAAAAAAAAAAAAAAGAGAGAGAGAAGGTAAGTGCTTTCAAAGAGAAAAGATAGCAGAGATGGCCTGGGGGAGTAATCTTCCTTATGAAGAACTTTGTCCTTGGCAAATGGCCTCAGCTCCTTCCACTCATTTTTTTTTTTTAATATCATATTTCATCCTTTTTTTTCCACTTCAAGTGCTACTCTGGACACCCTCCAATGTCTTAATTTCCCTTTTGAGTTCTGGAGCCCCAAACCTGGCTCTATTCTCTAAGACAATTAGGCAAGAAGAGTATTACATGGAGTAATCTTGGCATTTTGTAGAGTTCACAAAACTAAAAGTAGTACTTTATATACTGTTTTGTAAAAGTGATTTGCTATTGGTTCTCCTCAGAAGAGAGAGACAATCTTTGATAGTTGTTTTCTAGAAAGGGAATGCCCCAGAATCAGGCTGGGAAATGCTCTCTAACAATGTGTTGCCGTTCTGAGGCACAGAAGAGACCTTAAGAAAGATTTCAAGCTTGGATCTCAAATTTCTAGTCCAAATTTCTGTTATTTCACTGAACTTTGAGCTCATTAAGGGCAGGGATGATGTTATAGCCATTTTTGTAGCTCCAAGATATAGCACATAGGGACATTCAATACACCTTTGTTGAATGAACATCTATATCAAGTATCAACCCAAGTAAGGCAGAAAACTTGGAGCCGTAGACTCCTGGGACCTGGCACCATCAGACCAGCGGATATAGGATTCCTAAATACAATAGTTTCTATCAATGGGCCTCTGCCAGTAAGTCCTAGGGGAGCACCAACCAAAAGAGATGGATTCTAAGTGTGTGGCTAGACTTCCAGGTCCAACCAAATGGAGGAGGGACACTGTACTCTCTCTCACAGTGATTTACAACTAAACACTCTGAACAAAATACGAACACACAAAGCAATTAATTAAGGACTCTGAAAAGTAAGTAAAAGCAAGTAGATTGGGGAAAGAAAGAAAAACTCAATACCTGACCAACATGGTGGCAGTGAGTTTCTTAGAAATTTTCTCCTGGCTTTGACCTGAGGGTGAGCTGACTCATGAAACTGCACAGCAGTCATAGACAGCAACAACTGTAAGAACCAGCCCATCTTCCTGGACAAATGACTTGGAAAAGGGGCCCTTGCAGCCAGAGTGTGTGGGGAAAATTCTTTTTTTTTTTTTTTTTTAGTTTTTGTTCTCATATATTTTCTCTCTCAGCTCAGTCGCAAGGCCAGATGCAGCTTCCAAACTCCACTGCCACCCCCATAGCAGCAGCTCGGGCACCTAAAATCCCTGTAAATCTGTACCTCTGGATAGAAGAATGTAGAAAACGGACCCCTGCTATGTGAAGAATATAAGGGGAGTCCTCATTTTTTCTCTTTTCTCTTGCCACTTTATCCAGAGGGCAGGCCTAGTAGAATGAAACTTTGTGATGTCATTGTGTTATCTTTTCCCTTGAGAATTGGTCAGATTTTCCTGGTTCTTATCACATCGGGTAATTCTGGATTATATCTTAGATATTTTATATGGAATGTTATGTAACTCTGGGTCCTGTTAAAATCAGAGCATGATTTTTGTTTCGTTTTAGCATTCAAGCAAACCAGTTAAGTGCAGACTGCAAGTCCTGTCTCACCTGCTGTATGCAGAGATTCCACTGTCAGTTCAGGTTCCAAAGTCTTTGCTGTGCATTTGGGTGTATTCCACACATGCAGAGCTTAGAGGTAAAGCCCAGGACTTATGTTGGTTCATACATGGAATCCCTTTCTCCCATTCTTTCCTCTCCAGGATTTCCCTCACATTCTTCAGCTCCCAGAATCACCTTTCTCTGGTCTCCTGGACAGAAAGATGGGGCTCTTTCTCAGAGTTATAGCCACTCATGACATCACAAAGTTTCATTCTACTAGGCCTGCCCTCTGGATAAAGTGGCAAGAGAAAAGAGAAAAAATGAGGACTCCCCTTATATTCTTCACATAGCAGTTCCCCTGCCTGGGCCTCAGGTCCTCATCTAGAAAATCTCAGGGTTGAACTACATGATTTTCTAATTTCCTTCCAGCTCTTAAATATCACCCATTATCAGCTCTTCTGTGAACTTTTCTGTTCAAAATGATAACATTATCAAAACCTAATGCTATGAAGCAAGAAACCGCTTTCCTGCCAAGTCTTTTCACCCTTTGTAATGGTGCAAATGACTGAAATGGAGATGCTCACAGAACAGAACCAAAAACGAAGTTTGAAGTTTCGTAGCAACCAGAATGGAGGTTGGCTTTCCCCAACAGCTTCCTGCAGAGCTGTTTGAGCACCATGGGAAGCCTGGAATTCATTGCAAAGGAAAGGAAGCTGTCAGAAAACTTTTCACTCCCCATAAATGCATTTCCAATCTTATCATGTTTCTCAGAAGCTAAGGAATGGAATGGAATGCCCCTATGGCCTCAGATTCCTAGTTTGATGTCAAGTCTTGTCAGAATAGGTTAAGTCTGTGTCTGTAAACACAATAACTACCACTTACATAGCATCTTAAAGTGAACAGAACAGTTCTCTTTCATGCATAATCTCATTTCATCCTCCCCACCACCAACCTCTGCAATAGGCTGTAGCAATCACCTCCTGTTTCCTCAGAGGAAACAGTCTGAGAGAGGTTGAGAGTTTTACCCCAGGCTATCTAGTACTAAGCTTGAGAACGTGCCAACTCTCTGGCTTCCAATTCTGTCCTCTTTTGCCACCACCAGGAACCAGAGGCCCTAAGCAATGCCCAGAGCCAAGCTGTGACCTGCAGCTACTGGGCAAGAGGCCAGTTACTCCACATTTTAAGGCAGGTGTAGTACATTAGATCCTCTCAGATCATTCCTCCCAAGAGGAACGCAGTGTTAAGAGTTGGCTCCAGGGGTGCCTGGGTGGCTCAGTCGTTAAGTATCTGCCTTCAGCTCAGGTCATGATCCCAGCGTCCTGGGATCGAGCCCCACATCGGGCTCCCTGCTCCGCGGGGAAGCCTGCTTCTCCCTCTCCCACTCCCCCTGCTTGTGTTTCCTCTCTCACTGTGTCTCTCTCTGTCAAATAAATAAAATCTTTAAAAAAAAAAAAAAAGAGTTGGCTCCAATACACTCTGTCCCTCTCCCAGTCCCTCATTGCCACTAGCCAGGCTACTTGGCATGGAGAGGCTCTCTGATATTAGACACAAGCTCTTTGGAAAATGTCTTTCCTCTCCTCCTTCCAGCTGCTTGAGAATGTGCTTGTCTTTGAGTCAAGTAGGCTTGGGAATTGGTGGTTGCTTCTTCAGGTTTTGCCATTGAGGGGCCTTGAAGGGCTTTGCTGCTTGGCCCCTAACGGGCTTCCTCTCTGCTCTCCTCTCCCCTGAGGAATTGCTCTTCCCTCCCATTCTTGCACATTCATTCAGCCTCCACTTTGCATTGATGTGCCCGGAGGTCGTCCTTCCCTCCCTTCATAAGCTAATTTCAGCTCATTTATTCACACATTGTCCCTTCGTTTTCAAGAAAAATACAAAGTAGTCCCTTTGAGTATGATAATTCTGAGTCATTGCATACCATCATTTCAGAACAAAAAGATGTCAAAACGTGGGCGGGTTCATTTCATCTAGCAAGGGAGTAGGACTTCTTTGTTTTACCCTTAATGACTCATTCAACCTGAATCAAAGCTGAGTAGTCTTGGCCTTTGACCAGGAGGCTGGGGGGCGGAGGGGGGAGGAGCAGGGTGTAGTATGTATCACCCCAGCTGGGGCCATGTCCATGTGGCATGGAATGGGCAGAAGGAACTGAGAAAATAGAATGGTAGATGGTGTCATATGAAGCCCTTGTTCATCTCTGGATCTCTATTTTCCCATCTATAAAAACCTCAAAAGGATCACACAAGAGTGGGTTGGGACTGGGGTACATGACCTCACTATAACTATTTTCCTGAATCACTGTGCTTTCCTACTTGGGCATTGGAAACTTGATTCAGGAAAGGAGGTTCAACCCTCACCTGGCTTAGGTACCTGAAGAAGTGGAGAGAGGAGGCTTTGCTAGCAGACTTAGGTTTGGATCCTGCCTCTGCTACTTCCTGGCTATGTAACCTTGGGATAAGTATTTCATTTATAAAAAGAGAATAGTCTTTATCTTGATAAGGTCATTGTGAAGATAAAAGGTAATATCTGCCACAATTATCTCAGGGACTTCCCTGACTCACATACAGGATATATAGGACAGAGCACAGGTAAGCTGGGTGGGCTTGGACAGTCTTTTAATATACCTCAGTTTCTTCTTTGGTAAAATTGGGATAATAACGTGCTTTACAAGAGGTTTCTGAGAGTTAGAGATGATATAGTAAAGAGTCCAGCATAGCACTAGGACCTTAAGTGGTGCTGCTGGTAAATTAGAGATTATCAGTATTTACCTTACCTAGGGCCAGTGCTGGGTCAAAGCAGGAGACAACAGTGGGTTTTGAGCCAAAGAAGGTGGGACCAAGATGCCATCAGTATACAGGCTGGGCCAGTACCTAGAGATGTGGTGCAGGGTGCTCAGACAGGGGATGGTGTCTGGCAAGAATTCACACCCCAGGACCAGAGGGGCTGCCCCATGTACCTACACATACAGCTATATTTTCCACAGTGTTGGGTTCAGGCAGTTTCCCTGATGGGTTCACAGGCCTCAGTACAAGCTGCCAGACAGGGCTCTGCAGAGGCCTAGAAATAGGGTAGTAACACCCTAGGGCAGTAGCTCTCAACATGAGGACCCAGGTCACTGCAGAAGATTCACAAACATAAAAACATTCCTTTTGGGGAAGGAGGACTTTTTGTTTTGTTTTGTTTTTCCCTGGTGGAAACTGGGATCTATGGGATTTTGGTCATGCTGGACTGTCTAGTGGTTCACAGACCTTTTGAGGTTCCAACACAAGTGGCCTTGGGGTACCCAACTCTGAACCAGTCTGGGAGAGCAATGGGATTGTCTCCCCAGTCCCTCCCTTCAGCAAGTTTTAGTTGCACACCCTGGAGAACCAGGTTTCAGTATATCTCCCCCCAAAAACCATGACCAAACCATCTGCTAAACAAATCACACACTGTTCTGTCTCAATAATCTTACTTGCATCATTGTGCAGCCTGGAATGTCCTCTCCATTCACCCAAATCCCATCCATGTAAAAGGCCCAGCACCATTCCTAACTCTTCTGGGAAGCCCTCCAAAATCTTTCTAGCCCACAGAAATTATCCCTTCCTCAGAACACATGGTCATGCCACCATTTTCTTTCTGGATAGCTCTTCTTCTATGGTTTTGTTTGTTAGCATCTGTCTTTGGTACTTTTAATTTTTTTCTTCATAAATATTGGTTTCCTCCATCTTTCTCATTTCTTTCTTCCAGCTAGTCACCAAAGCCTGTTGGTTGTACCTATCAAAATTATCTTAAATCCATCAACTTCTCTTTACCTCTCAGGGTCATTCTCTGGTTCAGGCCACCATCACTGCAGCAGCCTCCTGAGAAGTCTCTTGCATCTGGACCAACCCTTCCAATTCATTCTCCACCCTGAGCCCAGAGGACTGTTTCTAAAATATAAATCTGTCTCAAGATGCCTGGGTGGCTCAGTCGGTTAAACACCTGCCTTCCGCTCAGGTCATGATCTCAGGGTCCTGGGATCGAGTCCCACATCGGGCTCCCTGCTCGGTGGGGAACCCACTTCTCCCTCTTCCTGCCTCTCCCACCTGCTTGTGCTCGCTCTCGCTCTCTCTCTGACAAATAAAATCTTAAAAATATATAAAAAAGTAAAATACAAATCTGCCTCAAGCCCTTTATCCCACTAGCCTCAAGAGAAAATATAAACTTTCCAACAGACTTTTCAAAGGCCTTCATTTACTGGTCCCTGCCCACATTTGCAGTCATGTTTCTTAACATTCCCCTCCCCCCAACCCCTTCCACCATTATCACAGGCCTGCCACATTCTGGTCATGATAAATCCTTATTAGCTCCTCACACACACACTCTCCTGGACATTCTATCTGGATTCTTCTTCCTTCCCACCCACCATGCCCCTCACACAGCACTTGATTCACCTACACATATTCAGTCTTCAGGTCTCCAGTTCAATGTTCTCTCATCCACTAAGCCTTGACGCCTGCCGGCTCCCCAACACACACTCCAGTCTCGGTGACCTACCCAGAGAGGGGACTCCTACCCGGTCCCCTCCCCATCGCCATACTTTTAATTCCATTTTATAGTATTGTTTTATACTGGTATTTGTCCCCCAGTAGACTATAAGCAATTTCAGAACAGAAAACATATCTGCACAGTTTATTGTTACATACCCAGTGCTGGGCCCAGTGTCTACCTTTCACAGATGCTCAAGAAATAATTTTTTAATGAATGAAAAGAATCTATACATCCAAATCTTCAAGGGCAATAAAATTTTATGTGCTTCTCTGTATCTCTCTCCAGCGCCTGATTCAGAGGCCTGTGTATTCTAGGTACAGAGGGAAAAAAAGTAATGCCCTCATTTAAATAGAATGCTCCTCTATTTCTTGGTGTTTCCCTTTCCCAGACTGAAGGCTTTTTGAACTACATGCTGACAGGAATGCAGCTGACAACATGGTGACCTAGATCTACTTCCAGGGGTGCTAGATGAGCAGGAAGACCCACAAAATTCAAGGCCTTCAGAAGCTGAATGGACCACTCATCAAGGAGGAGCTGGAAAAAGCCTTGATGGAATCCAGAAATTCAAGTTCTCATCCTGGTTCTTTAATTCAATAGCTCTATGACCACAGACAAGTCACTTAGCCACTGGAATTCAGTTTCCTCATTGGTAAAATGTGGTAAGGAAAAGGACTGATAGTTTATCTTCACATATAGCTCTGAGTTATCATTCATTAATAAACATGTCACCACATTCCCACCAGAGGTGAGGAAGAATTGGGCTGTTTCCAACCTAAAGATCAGGATACCCATATCATTACAAACAAGGTAAGTGTTTTTATAATTATACATATTATATGAGGCTTTAAACTTAGTAGTGAGTTTTCATATTTTTAATTCTTAAAGTAACTGTGGCAGAGGCAGCTATATGGGCATATCAATATCCATTATTCCCCTCTTGCCTATCAATTTATTAGAAATGGCAATATGCCCAGTTAAAAACCATATTCCCCAGCCTCCCTTGTAGCTAGAATGATCATGTGACTAAGTTCTAAAAGATAAAATTTGAGCAGAAATGTCATGTGTAGCACCCATGTAAAGCCTCTCTAAAGGGGGAGAATACACTCTTTGCCTTCCTTGTCCTCTCCTTTCTGCTGGCTGAATGTGAACAAGATGCCTGGAACTTGGCAGCCATAGTGGACCATGAGGTGATGTGCTAAGAATGGTGGGGCAGCAGGACAGAAGGAGTTGGGTCCCTGACACCTGGAGCCACCATCCCAGCCCTGGGTTATTTTCTGTTGGACCTCTTTGCCATAAGAGAGAAATAATTTCTATGTTCCTTAAACTACTGTTATTTTAGTTTTCTTGTCACATGTAAACCTAACCCTAATTGATAAAATAATCATCTATTTTATTCAAGACCCTGTGCTAGATGTTGCAAGGGATATAAAGGTATATAGGATTTAGATACACAAAGAGTTGGGCAGGAAGGCTCTGTCTGGTATGAAGGAAATGCTGAGAAAGGTTTGGCCTGGCCGGGCTGTGTGGACATGAAGAGGATTTTATGAGATGAGACCAGGGAATATTATGGAAGGAGCTTAAATGCCAGCTAATGACATTGAACTTGACCCAGTGATGGGCAAACAGCAGATAAGCTTGCCTCCAATTTGCGAATGAAGAAACCCAGGCCTTGGCAGATTACAGGACTTGTTTAAGGTCATCCAGCCAGTAAGCTGCAGAGCCAGAGCCAATCTCAATTCTACTGACACTTGTGCCAGTGCCATCCCATAGTTCTGGTGTCCTTGACAGAATCTGGGGCAAAAAGAGTAGGAGTGGAGGTTTTGCACTTTGACACAGCCAGGGAACTAGACTGTGCCCCTCCTCATACCCCCACACCTTTAAGAGGAAGCTTTGGGGGGGTTGTTAGAAGTTTAGGATCCAGACCTACCTTGAAGTCAGAGGACCCTTCCTCAGCCTCTTGCTTAGCCACCCCCATGAGGCTACAGGGGCCAGGGTGCTGCTTTGCTATGTGGTAAGTGCCCATGTGTCAGGCACAGTGTTGGGCACTCTGTACACATTATCTAATTTACTACCTTCAATAGTTTAACAAGAAAGTTATAATACCACGCCTATTTTACAACAAAGATGAAGAAACTGAGGCTCTAAGAAATGAAACCACCTACCCAGACTCACTCAGTGGATGGCAGAGTTGAAGTTCAAAGCCACATTTGTTCAACCAAGCTGTGTTCTTAGCCCACATTCTTTTTTTTTTTTTTTAAAGATTTTATTTATTTATTTGACAGAGAGAGACATAGCGAGAGAGGGAACACAAGCAGGGGGAGAAGGAGGGGAGAAGCAGGCTTCCCCGTGGAGCAGGGAGCCCGATGTGGGGCTCGATCCCAGGACCCTGGGATCACAACCTGAGCCGAAGGCAGACGCTTAACGACTGAGCCACCCAGGCGCCCCTTAGCCCACATTCTAATGTCTTCTCAATCCCTGCCAAAGCATGGAATAGTCTCCTATTACTACTCAGACACCAAAGACTTACCTAGTTTGATAGGTTGACCAGTACCAGATTCCCACTGTGTGCATTCCACCTGCAGTCAGGAGTCAGTGTCCTATCCAATAATCCTATCACCCATGCCCTACATGTGACCCTCACATGGGTGAGGGATGTCCTGGGGAGGTAGACCCACAGATGCCCAGATCTTTGTTGCCTCAAGCCTCCCAGGGTTCTTTGTCTTGGTTGGTCATGTGGCAAGGGTGTCAGAGTCCTCCCATTCTAGGTTCTAGAATTCAGTTTCCAGTGAGCTGTTTCATGGAATCAGGGACACTGCATTCTTTGTGTCCTTCCTGTGGCTGTTATGGTTAAAATGCATTTGTTATGATTTGCACTAACATTCATTCAATAAACAACTGGTCATTGGAACTGAATCTCCTATCATTGCCAACATTTGGAAAGTTGCATTTTATTTTGCTGGTTATCTAGTGTGCATCTTTCCAGTAATGTGGTATGTCCAGTGTTCCAACACAAACCACAAACCCCTAAGCTGACCACACTGGTTTTCTTCTGGAATTTCCATAGGAAACACCCTGAGATGTAGCCTGCAGAGCTGAAGGTGACTGATGGACCCCTGTCCCCTCTGTATTCTCTGCCCAACAGAGACCAACTGCTTTGTCAGGTTTTGCCCTGGGTCATCACCAGGCTATCCCATTCTTGTGCAACCTCCCTTCCTATTGGAAAAATACTCTTCCTTTCCAAGCTCAGCCTGACTTTCACCTCACACACTCTTGCTAATCAGGCTGAAGATGGAATATGTTTCCCTTGTTTTAACTAGATATATTAGGCTTAGCCTAAGTCTAGCAGATTTGAATAGTTATTGATAGAATATTCATCCATTTCCTTGTAAACACTATAACCAACATTCCTATTTTCAGCTGCAATACTTAGAGCATCTGAAATCAGACATGAAAGAGTAATTTAAATTTGTGCATAACAAAGTTTTCTGAAGATATAAGCAGATTCTGTCAGATGCAGAAGCACAATCCTTACAAACACTTTCATGCATTGTAGTGTAGTCAAACTATCTCACCAGAGCTTGTCATTACACCTTGTAGAAATTCTCATCGGTGGTTCTTATACAATCCTCATAATCTGCCATTGTCACCCAAAAGTGAAGGCCAGTTATGCAGTTGGATCCACACGATTACCAAAGGCTCACTGCTTCCTTGACTACAACATTCTCATTAAAATTATGCCCTAGATGTTTCATATATGGCAACACTTGACATATGTCCCCCCAGGAAGCATCAGCAGTTGGTGGACATGAAAAGACTTTGAAACCCTGTATAACAGTGTATGATGTGTCAGCTGTCCTTTTACATGGTAACAGATGGTGGCCAAAGTCCAGCGGGGTGCAAGGCCAAGCTCTACCTCTTAATTGTGGTGTGATCTCTACTAGGTCATTTACACTCTCTCACCCCCAAGTTTTTCATCTGTGAAATGGAAATGATAATGCTTGCCCTACGATGAGGTTCAAATGAGATCATAGTTGGGAAATCCCTTCAACATTCAAATGTTAGCGATTTTATCACACACATTAACTTTTAATCTTCACAACAATAGGAGGCAAAGGTCATTTTCCCCTTTTACAGACGTGGAGACTCAAGTGAATAGGCACTGGAGGATCTGCACCCAGGTCTCCCTGTCTGATGCTCTTTCCTCTCTGGGAGGAGGCACACTCCATGGCACCATCCCTGTTTATGGTTCTGTCCTCTGCACACTGCAAACAGCACATCATTGAGCTGTTGGCCTTAAGTCTGGCAGCAAATCAGTCCTCAAGAGCCACACAATGGGGAGAAGGGGACCAAGGGAAGGCAGTCAAGCCCCTGGGGCCTCTACTGTCCATGAATCCTACTCCCAGCCCAGCTGCTTGATTTTCCCCAGCACAAGTACCTGTGGAGCACCTGCTTCCACCTCAGCCCTGGGGAAAGCAGATGGGATTCTGTGGCACTGCCCTGAAAAGGCATGTCATCTGGTTGAGGCAAGAACTCAGAGACACAGCAACAGTTGAACACAAAACAGTACATGTTCAGGTGCCAGGTGAGTAGGAAGGACAGAGGGAAGGACACTCCCAGATGCTCCATTTGGGAACCGTAGAAATTCTTAAAGCTCTCTGTGGCCCCAACAAGCCCAAGAAATGCCTTAGTTTGGGGAGACATGGAATCTACATCATCCCTCCTCTTTTCTCAACCCCACTCCTAAGGTCCCTTTCAGCTATATCCCTTTCTATCCCCAAAGCTGTCTCCCTTACTGGTCTATAGGCTCCACAAGGTTAGATGGTAGACGTTTCCATTGCCATGTGCTCTAGACCTGCTCCAGAGTCCATCCTCAGTGAACATCTACTGAATTGAACAGATGTAAGTAGAGCACATGGACAGCAATAGGGACTCAACCTCTGGCCTATGAAAGAGTATGCAGGCAGGCTGGACTCTGTCCTGGGAAGGGGGAGGCCTAGACCCCCATGGAACAGCCAAAGGAAGAGAAACCCATCAACATCCTATGAACTAAATGAGAGAAATATTGTTGAGGAGAAAAACCTGATAAATGAAATTCCTGAGAGCCGAAACTGTCAGGGAGCAAACTCCTCCCCTTGTGTGAGAGGCGGGAAGGTGGTGTTCCGGCCACCACCAGCCAGAGCTGGGCTGCGCAGGTGAAGGGGCCACTTCCTGCACTTGAAGTAGACTGAGGGGAGCCCTGTGGGCACCTTCCTGCCTCACTGTGGGGGACTCATGGGTGAGTTTTGAGGGCCCTGACCTCTTCAGAGGAAGGAGGCCTAATTGCAAGTTCCAGTGTTCTTCCCTGATCTTCTAAAGAGTGACTGGAGAACAAGCGGGGGCTTTCTCTGAGCCACGCGGAAGCACAAAGGGAAATTAATAGAGAGCTACTTTATGCAAACACCTTTCTCTTTTTGTATACTATTTTTAGAAAAAGAAACTGCTTTGGCATTTAGAGGTAAGTTTTACAGAAGAGTTTGTCGCTGCTGCTGTTAACCATCCAAATAGTAAAAGCCAAGTGGAAATAATCAAATGTCAGTAATACCACCAAAATGCTTAAAGCTATCCACAAGGCCCCCTTCAGCCATCACATTTTTAAACTTCTGGAAGTGTAGAGAACCTGCTGGGAACTTGTCATGACCTAATGCTTGACAAAATGTTTTCCACCTTCCCTCCCCAACCTCCCCATTAGGGTTTTTCAAGTGCACTTGATTGCAACAACTTTGGGCCAAGCTAACTCACTGTATGGCCTTGGGCAAGTCCCTATCCCTGTCGGTCTCAGTTGCTGATTGTAGCACCTCTAAGTTTCTCTCCTGCTGAAAGGGGCTCCTTTTCAGCACCATTGAGTCCAGAACCAGTGATCCCATTAGGAAACAATGTGGCTCCTAAAATTATGGGTCTGCAGGGAACATACCCCACTTCTGGCTGAACTGTTCCCAGACAGCTGCTAACACAGAGGCTCCAAGCTTTCAAGCCTCAATAATGGCTCCAAGGAATTCAGTGTTTTC